TAAATTATATAAAATATTCATCAGTTTTTCTAGTAGTTACATCATGATAGTTTTCTAAAAGTTATATAACTGTTTGAAAGATATAAACATCCTAAGATTCTGTTTACATACTGAAAATTATATCCAAAAGCTGTTAATAATTTATACTCCAATAATTATCTTGCCAGAATGGCTTTTTTGTCCCCCTTTTTGGGATTGTATCCTTGTTAGTAGTGGATATTCTTTTTATAAAGAAAAGAAAATACAAACAAAAATATTTTTTGCTGATGGGAAATTTGAAAAGCAAATTTTCTTTCAAATGAAGTTTTAATTCTTCATGTATGGTTGACTTTTTGTAAAATGCTCATAAATAATTCCTCAAATTGTGTGTGTTCTGTAAGATAGTTAATTATTTCAAATGATGTATGATCAAGAATCGGCTTCATTATGGCAAAACCAGGGAGAGAATGGTATCTGGATCTTTCTAGTCTAATATATGGTTCATAATTATTCAGCAAGTCTCATGTAATAATTTACTAATGTACGTGGGTCCTTAATAAAAGATTTACTTGTGCACTTAGTTAATTATTAATTAACATTATATAATACTTTATTAAGATTACTCTTTCATAATAAATTAACAAACAAGTTAGCAGGTTCCAAGGGTACTGTTTAACGTTGCTTCTCCTACAATTCATTTACTAACAGTTGGACAGTGGACTTGGGAGTTACCCTCCTGTTATTCACATAACCTATGAAAGCAGAAGAATAAAACAGAGTCTGGTTAGACAGAGGGGCAACAGGCAATGGATCCCAAAGGTTGGTATGTGGAGCTAAATGATGGCCACTTCATTCCTGTACAGAGATTTGGCAACTATGCACCTGAAGAGGTAACAACAGTGGTCTTGGGGTTGAGGATTCCAAAGAAAATAGACTTAGCATGAGTGGAGGCTGACTTGTGTTGTCAAGTCATTTTGTTCCTGTGTGTTGCTGAGAAGCTCACTTGGTTCTTGTAACCTGGTTAGAACCGTTCCTTAGACAAAGAGACAAAGTAGTCAGTGTTCACTCTGCATCGGAGTCTGACCATGTGGTCACATACAGATTATTCTGGGTTTTTCTCCAGTTGTCATCTATTTCCTAGGTTTGCAAAAAAGATGAAACTCATCAGTAGTCACACTGACTTTCAGCTGCCTTGTTTTGAGGGTGATTGCATGGGAGTGGTTTCTCTGCCTATTTCTGCAATTCAAGACACACTTCCTCCCACCAAGAAGACATGATACAGAGAAATACTTGTGGTACAAGATCCTGGAGAAGAGCTGAATGACAAATGATGGAAGAGTTTCTGTTCTGCTGTGGGCTAGCCTGCTGTGTTCCAGGCAACAAATACTCCACCTGTAGTTTGCCTCATACTTCTCCTCCTTCAGAATTTATCTAGAATAGAAAATATAATATAATTTGAGGAAATAAGCTACAATCTTCCAAAGCAAGGTTTCAATTCTTGATCCTTGTTAATGTACTTTCGATTGAAGCTAATAGGTAGAGCTGGACCTTGGAAAGAAGAGGGAGCAAACTGGACAAGACACTAGACTGGAAGCCAGAAGTTTGCCTTTCAATTTTGTCTTTAGGCTATTTCATTGTATGACAGGGAACTAGTATTCAAATTTTGAGTCTGACTTTCTCATCTATAAAACAGTAGGAAATATTCAAAGAGATTTTTTTGGAGACAGACAACAGGACTCCTTTACTTTGTAGTGCAAACCAGGATAAAGGGGAGGGAAGAGTCAAGGATACCACTGAAGCTTCAGCTTCCATAACCCTCTGAATGACAGTGCACCTAAGGAGAGAGCACGAGCAGTAGGTGGCAGTATCTAGCTCCTGGCAATACCACTGAAAAATAAAAGCCTCTCAAATACTTAGAAAGAAATGGAATACTATTTAGCCTTAAAACAGAAGGAAATCCTGTCATTCTCAAACACATGGATGAACCTGGAGGACATTATGCTAATTTAAATAAGCCAGACGCAGAAAGACAACCACTGCATGATTCCACTTATTTGTGGAATCTAAAAAGTAAAACTGATAAAAACAACACCAGTAGAGGACTCTTAAGCTTTAATCTTCTTTCTTGAGACTTCATCCCATGTACATTTTCCTTTGTTGATTTTGCTTAGTAACCTCTCAGAATATAAATTGTTCCCATGACAGCTATATACTGAGTCTTGCAAGTTCTTTCTGCAAATCACTGAACATGGGGTGGTTGTGGGGCCATTTGATGTTAGTGATCAACCAGTGATCACCTGAGATTGAAAGAGATCCTGGAATGTTCAACTTTTACTACTTACCAGAAAAGACCCAGGCAAACTGTCATGGGTTCATCACACACATGCAGAACTAACCTAAGACATGAGCAAAACTTGATTCTTGGGAAGGTCAAAGTTTGTGCCCTAGCTACCTCTCAATCCTGTGGATATACAACTACTACCTTTGGTTGCTCATCTAGGTTCCTAAGAGCAAAGCTGTGGTGGCCACTAAACTAGCTATAGATGTTGTGTTCCACCATATTGATTCTGCTTTTATATACAATAATGTAAAGGACGTTGGATGGGTCATCTTAAGCAAAATTGAAGATGATTCTGAAGAGAGAAGACATATTTTACACTTCAAAGGTGCTGGGTATATGATGTATGTGTGTGAGCACATGTGTGAACGTGCTTGTCTGGAGATGATGACATGATAGGATCAGTAGGTGTTTGGCAAATTGTGCTTAATTGTGCTTATTGACGAGAAAATTTTTCACACATATTCATGTATTAAATCTAGGGTCAAAAAAGATTATGGTTTTCTCATCATTGATTTGCTCAAATTTTATGATTTTAAAGTAATGTCACTTTGCTTTTCTGAGCCTCAGACCATATCTGTGTGATTAAGTGTGGACTATTCAAGCAGACAGAATTGTGATAGTATCATAGTTTTCTTCATTATCTGGGTGACTTACTAAAATTTCTTAATCTGAATATCAATTCTCACATTCATCAATAAGTGACAGCAATATAAGAGGCACTTTATTAAACAAGATATAGCTAAAGTGTCTTGAATTGTGTTTGGCAGATACTAATATATTCAAAGCACATTTTCCCTACTGTTATCTAAACAAAGGGATGCTACTTATTCCCCACAGGACTGAATGTTTGATAGAATTAGACTCTGTTTGTAAATTGTTTTGTAAACTCTATCAAACAGAATTCATATAATGGACATTGTTATTATTTGATAACAGGTTTTATCTCCTGGGTCATTTCCTTCCATTGTTAATAGATGAGCCAATGGTAAAGCCAAGCCAATAACAGAGTTTCTATTGATGAGTCAGATCAAAAGGTTACCCAAGAAATTTTCCTCTGTGGTCATCAGTTTCCAACCAGAAGAAAAATATCTAATTCTTAGATGAAACTAGAAAAACAAAACTGACTAAAGTATTAATCCAACACAACTTCCATTCTTTAACCCATGCAGGTTTGGCTTACTTTCCTTGACCAGAGTTGGTCCCACCAGCCTTGAAAAAGTTTCTGAAAAATCCTCAACTGGACTTTGATGATCTCTAAATTATTCCTTCTCCAGTAGCTCTGAAGGTCGGCAATTTGTGCCATCACACCTATTTTACGTCTTGTGTCAGAATGTCTATCAACTTGCATGGATGGTTGAAATCAGACTTTTCCTAGAAGTATGCAAGGATTATTAAATTAGAAAATCATCCCCAAAATAATAATTCCTGGTTAGCTTTTCACGGAGTTTTTTTTAACCCTTAATTTCCTTTCCATACCTCCAAGAGAAAACTGTTCAACAATCTTAAATCTTCTCCCTCAAAAACTTGAGGGAAAATATTAGGCATTGTCAACACACAGTCCTGATTGTTTCTCCTGTATCTCTTGAGATATTACAAACACAGAGTTGCATGCAGTTGTGGTGAGCAATGAGACTGTCTTGCAATTGTGCATAATACATTGAGCATCTCTCTCACCATTTCATGTTGGAAGCAGATTGATGGTGCTCACTCTGGGTGGATCTAAAAGTAGCAGCCTTTACAGGGACTTGCAAGACCTTGCCTACACCATTGCCTACATCATCTTCACAATGGAATTTTGTAGACTGCACTCAGCCATTGCATATTGTGTTATGTAGAATCCTTGACGTTAAGTTATAGAAAGCTACTCAAGCTATCCTATGCAAAAGAGTTTAATGGTCTGTGTAAATGGAAAGTCCAAGCCATGGATAGATATAAGGATTTGGATTAGTCTTCAGAAATGTTTCCTTTTTTCTACCCCTTAACTTTGCATTACTATTAGTTTGCTTTATTTTTGTTGCAACTTTCTCAGTTGACGGCAAATATGGCCTTTGGGCAATTCAAGGCTTATGGTCATTAACATTTTAGAGCATCTCTGGAACTTCCAACACCTGTATTATTCCTAAAAAGAACCTAGAATGACCATGTTAGGTTTGTGAGCATGCCCTTGGACAATATGATATTCAGAGGAAAAAGGAACTCTTGTTGCCTAGCCTGGGTCAAGATTGTAATAGTTATTCTGGGAGTAAGGCTGTGTAACTTACAGTGCAATGGAGACATTTTGCAAAATTAAAGCAGAGGTGGCAGACAAAGTAACATAAGTCACTATGAGTTCCCATTAGGATCAAAGAAAATGGTACTTTTTAAAAAGTATAATGAATATAAGACATCAGAGGAAGCCTATGTCCTAAAGACATTCCTTACAACTCCATATGCAAATCACTTTGCAAATATTAGTGTCTAGAGTGTTGCACCACCTACTTCCTGGAGGTTTAGTGTCCTGGCCCTAGATGTACCTGGCAGCCTGACTAAAGGTAAAAAAAATTATTTTGTGATGTCACTGAAATGACTGCTTCTATTTAGCCACGGGAGGAACTTGTTCCACAAGATGGACATGGAAAACTCATATTTGACAGAGTGGATCTCTGTGCCACATTGGAGGTAAGTGCTTGAAGGAGAGACCCAAGAGGAGGGAGTCAGGAGAGGGAGAATCTGGTTCATTTCTTCCACTTGAGAGAATGGGCTATGCACATTCCAATTCATTCATGCATAAACTTTAAAAAAGCTGGTATGCTGTGTTGGGGTGGAGGAAATCATTACTATAATATTTATAGAGAGGAATGAAGCAGAAGAATTTGGGACAATGAAGATAGGTATGTCTTTCTCTCCTTGGGTAAAACTCTCTCACATTTTTCTAAGGGGAAGAGAGTAATTCTTATTTATCCTTACACTAAATTTTTCCCCTTTTTAATTTACTACTTTTCCTCTTCTTGATAATCCTGCCAATTGGCTTCATTGAAATTTCTTGACATTTGTTCCTTTTAACAGGTTTTTATCACACTTACTCTTGATCTCTAGCCAATTGCCCAAATGATTCTTCTCCACTCCTTCCTCCCCAGGCTGTGGAGAAGTGTAAGGATGCATGGTGGGATAAATCCATCGGGGTGTCCATATTTAACCACAGGCAGCTAGAGAAGATGCTAAACAAGCCAGGGCTCAAATAGGAGCCTGTCTACAGTCAGGTGAACACCCTTGGCCTCCTCTCCCTTCTGTTCTTCATTTCTTTCTTCTTGCACTACTGCCAGATGTCTATTTGACCTCCCCTCCTATTCATCCTACTTTTATGGAGCAGAAGAACCTAGAGAGCACAGCTTTTGTCTATAAGGATGTGAATAGAACCCCAAATTGTATCTCTGCTTTGTAAAGACTTATTGAAAAAAAATGGTGAGACCTTAGTGCTAAATTGTGCATAAAAATTTAGGGAAGGTAAAGGAGGTGATAGAGGGTTGGAATAGTTACCAGACCCTAAAGAGAAGGTGGCATTTCCCTGAGCTGTAAAGGATGTTCAGAAATGGGATGAGTGAAAGGTATTTGCAGGGTATTGTGCACAGGAGGGACGGTCATGAAAACAAGGAATGTGCAGTAAGCAAGGAAAAGAGTGAAAATAACATGAAGTAGGTATGGGCCGACCCCGTGGCTTAGCGGTTCAGTGCGCAAGCTCCACTGTTGGCAGCCCAGGTTTGGATCCTGGGTGTGCACCAACACACGCTTCTCTGGCCATGCTGAGGCCGCGTCCCACATACAGCAACTAGAAGGATGTGCAACTATGACATACAACTATCTACTGGGGCTTTGGGGGAAAAAAAAGGAGGAGGATTGGCAATAAATGTTAGCTCAGAGCCAGTCTTCCTCAGCAAAAAGAGGAAAATTAGCATGGATGTTAGCTCAGGGCTGATCTTCCTCACACACACACAACAAAAGATAACATAGGTGTTAAGGGTTTGTGTACGGTTTGGATACCTGAATCCTTCATCTTGGTATTTCTGCTTTCAGGGGTCTTTGAGTAGGAGGCATGGCTAGAAGAAAACTTAACTGAGGACTATGATAGTCATCCAGGTTAGAAGGATGAAGTTACTGGTTTATGGTGATACTAAAGGTAGATGAAATCAACACTCCGGAACATTTTGCAGGAACATAGAGCCAACCTTGTGATTTACTCAGTCTTAGCCTGTTTCTCTTCTTCAATTTATACCTTTAAGTTAACTCTTCGGACACATTATTGTGTATCTAGTTCTTTGGTTTTATTTTATTTTATTTTATTTTTTTAAATTGTGGTAAGAAAACGTAACATGACATCTACCCTCTAACGGACTCTAAGTATACAATACAGTACAGTATTGTGGGGACAAGGATGTACAGCAGATCTCTAGAACTTATTCATTTTGCATAATTGAGCTTTCCTGCCCCCAATTAGCAACTCCTGATTTCACCCTCCCCCAGCCCCTGGCAACCACCATTCTGCTCTCTGATTCTGTAAGTTTGACTATTTGAGATTCCTCATATAACTATGAGGAATCTAAGTATAAGGAATATAAGTATCGTATAGTACTTGTCCTTCTGTGAATGTCTTATTTCATTTACCCTAATGTCTTCAAGGTACAACTTGGAGTCAAGGAGTAAAATTCTTCTACTGGAAAAAGTAGCTTATAAAATTGAAGAATTTGAGGTATAACAATATAGCCCCATGATTTTCATTTACAAATTTTAAAAAATCCACATGATTCTAGCATTAGTTTTACTCCCAATTTTTATTATGATAATTATCAGACACTCAGAAAAGTCAAGAGTATGATAGAGGACACCCATGTTTTCCCTCCTATATCAGAAATACTTCACATTTTGCCACACTGCCAAATATATACATATGTGGATATATATGCATACCTTTATGTAATATTTTGCAGTCCTTCTTCAAAGTAAGCTCTAGACATGAGAATTCATTCCTACAGAACTTAAAAAACATATTGTCTGGTATCTAACCCATATTCAAACTGTCCTATATTTTTCCCAATGTCTTTTATAGATTTTCTTTTCTAATCAGGAGCCAAGTATGGACCACATATTACTTTTTAAATTATTATTATTTTATTGAGGTCATAATAGTTTATAACATTGTGAAATTTCCTGTGTACATTATTATTGGTCAGTCACCATATATCTGTACCCTCTACTTTTTATGCCCACCCCCCAACCTCTTCCCTTCTGGTAACCCCTAATTTGTTCTTCTTGTCCATGTGTTTTTTTATTTTCCACAAATGAGTGAAATCATGTGGTTTTTGTCTTTGTCAGTCTGGCTTATTTCGCTTAACATAATACCCCCAATATCCAGCCATGTTGTTGCAAATGGGACAATTTTGTCATTTTATGGCTGAGTACTATTCCTTGTATATATATACCACATCTTCTTTATCCATTCATCAGTGTATGGACACTAGGGTTGCTTCCATGTCTTGGCTTTTGTGACTAATGTTGCAATGAACCGAAGGTTGCCTAAGTCTCTTTGAATTGTTGATTTCAAGTTCTTTAGATAAATACCCAGCAGTGAGATAGCTGAGTCATACGGTATTTCTATTTTTAATTTTTCTGAGAAATCTCCATACTGTTTTCCATCCTGGCTGCACCAGTTTGTATTCCTACCAGCAGGGTATGAGGGTTCTCTTTTCTCCATATCCTCTCCAATGTTTGTTATTTTTTGTCTTGGTAACTATTGCCATCTAACAGGTGTAAAGTGATGTCATTGTAGTTTTGATTAGTATTTCCCTAATGAATAGTGATGTTGAACATCATTTCATGTGCCTGTTGGCCATCTCTACATCTGCTTTGGACAAACATCTGTTCATATCTTCTGCCCATTTTTTTGTTGGGTTGTTTGATTTCTTGGTTTTGAGTTGTATATGTTCTTTATATATTTTGGAAATTAAGCCCTTGTTGGATGTATGATTTGCAAAGATTTACTCTCAGTTGGTGGGTTGTCTTTTCATTTTGTTCCTGGTTTCTTTTGCCTTGTAGAAGCTCTTTAGTCTTATATAGTCCCATTTGTTTATTTTTTCTTTTGTTTCCCTTGCCTAAGTAGACATGGTATTCAAAAAGATGCTTTAAGATGGATGTCAAAGAGTTTACTGCCTATATTTTCTTCTAGGAGTTTTATGGTTTCATGTCTTACCTTCAAGTGTTTAATCCGATTGAGTTAAGTTTTGCGTATGGCAAAAGATAATGGTCTACTTTTATTCTTTTTCATGTCACTGTCCAGATTTCCCAACACCATTTATTGAAGAGACTTTCTCTTCTCCATTGTATGTTCTTGGCTTCTTTGTTAAAAATTAGCAGTCTGTAGATGTGTGGTTTTATTTCTCGGCTTTCAATTCTGTTCCATTGATCCGTGTGTCTGTTTTTGTACCAGTGCCATGCTGTTTTGAGCCCTATAGCTTTGTAGTGTACCTTTTTATTTTTTGTTAAGAGGACTAGCCCTGAGCTAACATCCAATGCCAATCCTCCCCTTTTTTCTAGAGGAAGAGTGGCCCTGAGCTAACATCTGTGCCCATCTTCATCTACTTTATATGGGATGCCATCACAGCATGGCTTACCAAGTGGTGCATCTGTGCATGCCTGGGATCCAAACCTGCAAACTCTGGGCTGCCGAAGTGGAGCGTGCGCACTTAACCACTTGCGCCACTGAGCTGGCCCCTGTAGTGTATTTTGAAGTCAGGAATTGTGATGCCTCCAGCTTTGTTCTTTTTTCTCAGGATTTCTTTAGCTATTCAGGGCCTTTGTAGCCCCATGTGTATTTTATGATTCTTTGTTCTATTTCTGTGAAAAATATCATTGGGATTCTGATTTGGATTGGATTGAATTTGTAGATTGCTTCAGGTAGTGTGGACATTTTAACTATGTTTATTCTTCCAGTCCATGTGTGTGGAATATCATACTATTTCTTTATGTCATCATCAACTTCTTTCAACAATGTCTTATAGTTTTCATTGTATAGGTCTTTCACCTCCTTGATTACATTTATTCCTAGATACTTTACTCTTCTTGTTGTGATTGTAAATGGGATTTTGATCTTGAGTCTTTATGTTTCAGTATTTTGAATATGTCATTCCACACTCTCCTGGCCTGTAAGGTTCCTGCTGAGAAATCCACTGAAAGCCTGATGGGGGTTCCTTTGTAGGTTATTTTCTTCTGCCTTGCTGCCTTTAATATTTTTTCTTTGTCATTTACTTTTGCCAGTTTTACTAATGTATGCCTTGGAGAAGGTATTTTTACATTGATGTAATTAGAAGTTCTATTAACTTCATATACATGTAATTCCAGCTCCTTCCCCGCATTGATAAAGTTCTCAGCTATTATTTCCTTGAACAAGCTCTCTGCTTCTTTGTCTTTTCCTTCTCCTCCTGGAATACCTATAATCCTTATGTTGGATTATACCCATATATCCTCAGTTTCCTAATTTATTCAGAAAATTCTCAGAGAATTTCTTCATTTCTTTTTAGTCTTAGTTTTCTATCCTCATCCATCTGAAAGATTTCTATATTCTTGTCCTCTAAATTACTAATTCTATCTCCCATAATATCAACTCTGTTTTTTAAGGATTCTAGATTTTTCTTCATCTCATTGTGTTCTTCATCTCCAATTCTC